TGGGAGTTTTTTTTTTTTCCTTTCTAAAAACATCCATGTCTGAGAGACTGCAAACCAGAAAAGCCAGTCTGAAGTTCAGAAACCAGCTGATGGAGGAATATGGGGAATGCAAAGTGAAAGAGCCAAGGGGGAGAAAGCAGGACGTGTCCCAGCAAGCTGCTCCACCTCTCCAGGCCACGGAGATGGGGACGGGAAAGTCAGGTCTGGGCCAAGTGTTGAGGCAACATTCCCATCAGAAAGAAATCCTGGGAGCTGAAGGAAGGGAGAGAGGACAACAAGAGGTTGGTTTTAATTCAGGAAGGGGGACAGCTTGACCTTCATAGCACAGCGCCCTTTCTTCCTCCCTCACAGCTGAGTTACAGATTTAAGGATGCTCCTAATTTGGAGAGTGGTATCTGCAGCCAGCCCCTCAGAGAACTGATTCTTCAGCAGTTAATCCAAATTCTTTCCTTCCCCCCCTCAAAGGGTTCCAAAACAGCAACATTTTTAACGTGGTGCCGCTCAGGTGCAATGCAAGCCCAAGCAATGGTGGCACAGAGAGCGTTCCTTTCTTCTAGAAGAAGCAGATTATTAAAAGACAATAAGCTGGCAAACTCCGGAGTACCTTTTGCACAGTGTGTGGTGGGGCACTTCTGAGCTGGGACTTGTGTGGAGCACCTCCAAAAGGACCAGGGTGGGGGACCACGGAATGACTTCTGCTGTTGGAGTCTCCAGTAGCAGATCAAGCTGCTCCACCTCTCCAGGCCACGGAGATGGGGAAGGGAAAGTCAGGTCTGGGCCAAGTGTTGAGGCAACATTCCCATCAGAAAGAAATCCTGGGAGCTGAAGGAAGGGAGAGAGGACAACAAGAGGTTGGTTTTAATTCAGGAAGGGGGACAGCTTGACCTTCATAGCACAGTGCTCTTTCTTCCTCACTCACAGCTGAGTTACAGATTTAAGGATGCTCCTAATTTGGAGAGTGGTATCTGCAGCCAGCCCCTCAGAGAACTGATTCTTCAGCAGTTAATCCAAATTCTTTCCTTCCCCCCCTCAAAGGGTTCCAAAACAGCAACATTTTTAACGTGGTGCCGCTCAGGTGCAATGCAAGCCCAAGCAATGGTGGCACAGAGAGCGTTCCTTTCTTCTAGAAGAAGCAGATTATTAACAGACAATAAGCTGGCAAACTCCGGAGAACCTTTTGCACAGTGTGTGGTGGGGCACTTCTGAGCTGGGACTTGTGTGGAGCACCTCCAAAAGGACCAGAATGGGGGACCACGGAATGACTTCTGCTGTTGGAGTCTCCAGTAGCAGATGAGAACCATCCATCCCCTTGGAAGCAGCACGGTGCCACGGAGCTGATGGCTCCAGGAGTGTTCTTGTCACTCTCCTCACTCTGCTTCATGCAGCTGCTGCCACCTTCTCCTTTTCCATGGAGCATCTAGAACTGCTCCTCTTGTTCAAAGCCTTCTGGAACAGCCTCTCCCAGAGCCTTGGGCTCAACCTCCCTCCTACTCACAAGGTTTTTGTGGTCTTCAGCCCTGCTCCCCCTCAGCCCATTTGCTGAACACTCAGCACTGGTGAGGTCCCACCTGGAGTGCTGGGTCCAGTTTTGGGCCCCTCACAACAGGAACATTGATGGTTTTTGTGGTCTTCAGCCCTGCTCCCCCTCAGCCCATTTGCTGAACACTCAGCACTGGTGAGGTCCCCCCCTCAGCCCATTTGCTGAACACTCAGCATTGGTGAGGTTCCACCTGGAGTGCTGGGTCCAGTTTTGGGTCCCTCATAACAGGAACATTGATGTGCTGGAGCATGTCCAGAGAAGAGCAATGGAGCTGTTGAGGGGTCTGGAGCACAAGTCTTGTGAGGAGCAGCTGAGGGAGCTGGGGGTGTTCAGCCTGGAGAAAAGGAGGCTGAGGGGAGACCTTCTCACTCCCTGCAACTCCCTGAAAAGAGGATGTTGTGAGGGGGGATCAGTCTTTTCTCCAAGTCACAGGTGATGGGGCAAGAGGAAACAGCCTCAAGTTGTGCCCAGGGAGGTTTAGGATGGATATCAGGAAAAATTTCTTCACCAAAAGGGTTATCAAGCCTTGGAACAGGCTGCCCAAAGAAGTCATGGAGTCACCATCCCTGGGGGTATTTAAAAGCCAGGCAGACGTGGTGCTGAGGGACATGGTTTAGAGATGGCTTTGTCGATGATCTGAAAGATCCCTTCCAACCTGGACAATTCAATGATTCCATGAATTTTCTCACCTTCCTGGCAGCCCTCTGCGCTTGGAAGGCTGAGCAGAAGGAGCTATTCCCAAGCTCTTGGGACACCTGGAGATACAACAAACCTCTTGCCATGGAGATGCGCTCTCCCTCTGATTTCTGCTCTGCACAGGTACAAGGCTGATGCCCACAGAGTGTGGTATTTGTGTAGACCAGCTATTTTCAAGTCCTGTTGACAGTCAAGCTCTATAATGTTTGTAGAGGGCCAGGATTGAGGTGCACCCTCTCTTCTCTTCTACTTCCACCTGTGGGCTTCATGATATACTTGATACCTCAGATCCAGGTTAGTGCCTAGAGCTTTGATCAAAGCTGTCCAAACCCAAGCACTCTCTGTCCCAAACACACAAGAGGCACAGGAGAACAGGGAATTTTGCCTGGAATCACTCAGAAAGTGCACTTCTTCATCCACAACTGATGCAGATGAAGTAAACCACTTGAGATGACGCCAGCAATCTCTGGCAGTGGCAGGACCAGGACTTCAGTCTCCCAAAGCCTGGGCCAAGGCCTGAAAAAATAATAATGAAGAAAAAGAATCAATCATCCTTTCAGTCTGCATGAAGATCCAGCTGCAGTGACAGAGCCTGAGATGACAGCTCATCCAAGCCACGTGGGGGTTTCACCTTAGAAATCCTCCCTGTGAGTTAATTACTGAAAGCATCACTGCAGGGTTGAGCACCACGGGTGCTGACTCAGGCTGCTGGGCTTTTCCCTTTTGGCTGGGCTACTTTTCCTTACGGGTTTTCCCAATCCCGTGTGCCACGTGGAATCACAAACAGCTGGACCAGCAGAAGGGAGGAGGAGAAAAAAAAAAAAAAAAAAAAAGACTAGAGAAGAGCAGCATTTTAATTCAGCCCTCCCCGTTGTGCAATGGCAGCTTTGCCAACCGCTGGCCACGCAGCCAGGATTCTTCATGGATTTGATGTTGCACAAGTGCCCCTTAAGGATCTGTGGAAGAAAAAGCTTTTTCCCAGTAAGGCATGGCTTTTTCTTCCCTTTTTTTTTTTTTTCCTTCCCCAAACCTAAGGAACTGTAGAAACCAGAGGTCTGTACTCACCCCTGTAGTTCAATTTTCTCTTTTCCCCCTGAAACAGCTGATTAAATAAGAAATGGAGAGAATCCTCTTCCCGCTGGCGGTGCCATCATCAAGTCTTCAGGGAAAAGAGGTTCGGGTCAAGTGCAGGTCTCAGTCTAGTGCACCAGCACTATGCTGTTCTTACACCACATCTAATCCACTGGTTAACACTGGTTTCCAGACTCCACAACCAAGTAGGAGATGACCACGGCAGCTGAGATGCTCCAAGCACCACAAAAATACAACAGCAGGTGATGAGACGAAGCACAGCGCACACGTGGCAAGAAGTTCTCTGCTCCAAAAAACTACCTAACTCTGAAACAACCCTGATTCCTACCAGAAAGGTTTTAACAAAAAAAGTTTGTATTTCATACCATCAAGGTGTTACAAGAAAAAGCTTGAGGAACCCAGCTCTGGAGTCCTCAAGCCAGGAAGGACATGGAGCTGTTGGAGCGGGGCCAGAGGAGGCCCCGGAGATGCTGGGAGGGCTGGAGCCCCTCTGCTGGGAGGGGGGGCTGAGAGAGTTGGGGGGGTCAGCCTGGAGAAGAGAAGGCTCCAGGGAGACCTTAGAGCCCCTTCCAGTCCCTCAAGGGGCTCCAGGAAAGCTGGGGAGGGACTCTGGATCAGGGAGGGGAGCCCTAGGATGAGAGGAAATGGTTTTAAACCGGAAGAGATCTCATCTAAATCCCTTCTTAGGAAGAAATTCTTCCCTGTGAGGGTGGTGGGACCCTGGCCCCAGTTGCCCAGAGAAGCTGTGGCTGCCCCATCCCTGGAGGGGTTCAAGGCCAGGCTGGATGGAGCTTTGAGCAACCTGGTCTGGTGGGAGGTGTCCCTGCCCAGGACAGGGAGTTGGAACTGGATAATCTTTAAGGTCCCTTCTAACCCAAACCATCCTATGATTCTATGAAGTACCCACCTCCCTTAAAAAACAATAGATAACCATGACCCCAACCCTACTGATGAACTTCTTGCAAGGTTTTGAACCACTCTCCTTTTGAAAACCCACCTACTTTTCAATACAAGCATAAAATCTTAGCCAACTGAACTGTTTGAACTGAAGAAGTTCAGAAGAACTGAGCTCTACCCCATCAGGGTAGAGCTGGTGTCAAAAGGCCAAAACCACAGGAGCAGAGCTCTGCAAACCACGAGCAGACTCGGGGGATCAACCTTCTCCTTCCCACCACAGCCCAAACCCCTCTTCTCCCACCACAGCCCCTGTCCAACTGTAGGAGAAAACACAAGGAGCTGAAAAGAACCAAAGTTTCAGGCAAGAACTTACACCCAAGTCACACAAGTTGTTATTGTTATAACAATAAAGAAGGTTCAGCACTGAAATTAAAGAACTTTTTAGAGTCTTCCAAGGTTTTAATTTGACCAGACATTTCTATTATGTTCTCCACGTATCTACAGCAAAGTTTACAGCCACTTTGTATCTGTTTTGCTCCCCCCAAAATGGCTAAGCAATTTGAGCCACCATGGTTTTTCTCAGGTTTGGTACTTTTTCTTTTTTTCATGTTTTTTTGTTTTGTTTTTTTTGTTTTATTTGCAATATATTCACCACCACAGCGGCCGGGATCCTGTCCACGTACAGCATACATCTAACAAGAGCACACGACTCCCAGCTCTGCTGCTTATTTCATGGTTTTTGATACATCTAACAAGAGCACACGACTCCCAGCCCTGCTGCTTATTTCATGTTTTTGTTTATTTAAAAAAAAAAAAATAATAAAATAATAATCAAGACTGATGCAGCAGCCAAATCCAATTAGCAATTCCGGATGTTTTAGGACAGAAGTGCACTCACCACGGGGAATTTGTACTATTTAAGGGGTAGGTAGCGCACGTCACGCGGTGCTGTTCAGTGTCACAGTTACAGGAAAAAAAACACAAAAAAGGGAGTACAGTCATTGTCCCTTTCTCCAGGAACCTGTACACGACAGCACTTCCCCAGGCTTTAGCAAAGCACACGTTAGGCTGGATACAGTGCAATTAAAGTTATATCATATGCAACATGGACAATAGTGCACTTAAACCAGTCGCCACATTCATCAACGTTAAATCAATACAATCAAAAATATGGAAGGTACACATTTCCCTTATGAAAACTGTGCAAGTTAGTTCCTTTTTCCCTTTCATTTATGGTTTTTTTTTGGTAAACGGCAGAGTGTCCACATTGATTGATCCCAGAGTTTGGGAAAGGGAGGGTCCCCTCAGTGTCCAGCTTATTTATTATTAACACAAATATTGATGTGCAAAAAAGAGCAGAAGTGGGTAAGAGAGGGTAAGGCAGCGTTGGGATGAAGGGCCAGAGCTGGGTGCTGCTGTGGTGGTTACAGCTTGGGACAACACAGGACACCTACAAACAGGGTCTCAGCAGCTTCACGGGGCAGAATCCAGCAGATAATCCCCCTCTCAGAGGGAGCAAGCCCATCATCAGCATGAAATATGTGAATAAATACAGTGGACATGCAGGTAAGGAAAGAACCGGAGCGCCCCGCTGCGTGTTAGACCAGTGACCACCAGACTGGAGGCTGGGAAGCACTGGGAATGAGAAGGTTAAGAGAGAATTTGCAACTAGCCTGCCATAAGAACTATCTTCTCGCAGGAGGAACCTTCAAGGTCTACACAATATCATCTCAACCCCACCACATGCAAGACCTTGAAGGACTGCTCCTGGTGACATCTCATGAAGGTGGATTTACAGGTTCAACCTGAGGTTCCAACTGTCTGGGGTGAGCACGGGGTGAGGCAGGGCAGAGGAACAGGGGGAAGGAACTGCTCAGAAGGACCTCGCCATCATCCCACCAAGGCTGTGACCCACGCTGCCACCAAGGCAAGAGCACAGCGAGGATGAAGCACTAACACTGAATGATCTGCCTTTTGTTTGCTGTCACAGCTGGTTGCCCAATTTCCTCCAAAGCAGGCAGTTTGCACCAGAGACTAGAGCAGCCAGGCAATTAGATCAAAAAAAAACCAAACCAAACCAACCACCCCTCTTTGCTTCTCTATTATTTAGCTCAATATATAATTACTACCTTAGGAAATTACATAACCTTTAAGGGTGTTTTATGTATAGTCTATTACAGGGAAGATAGCACCCTCTGAATCCTTCCCATCTGGCCGGGGAGAACGTATTTCAGATGTGGAGGAACAGCAGAAATTGTGAATCGGGGAGGGAAACAACATCCAGGCAGGTGCAGATCCCACGGGGGTAATTTTTAAAAAGGGGAGAAGTAATTTTAAGGGCTTTTACTTGCCATATGGCCAGAAGGCAGCTCCAGAAGCCAGCATTTGGAAGTGGGAAGAAAGGATGGACAATTTGTGCCACCCCTCCTGTTACACAGCAGAGCTCACCAGCCACCCTGAGCAGCGTTCCCTAAATCCTATCTGACAAGACCATCGCTCTCCAAACCTTATAAGAAATTATTATTACAAGTAGGGGGGAATTTATTCCTCTGCCTTACGTGAACAATGGTTGAAAAGGGATCTTTTTATTCTATTTTTAAGCCAGATGACTTCAGGACTAAGTTTTGGTTAGTCGAGAAGAAAATAATAATTAAGGAAATAAGGACCGAAGCAAAAGGCATTAAGGTAGCACTTAGTCACTAGCACATAATTTGATATAGTTTCCTTGATTATAGAACTTTTCTTAGAGTATTTAGCGATTACATGATTTTTACAGATTACTCTCCAGGTAATTTTATGCCAACTAAAAGACCCTACATTTTCACATCTATCTATCTTGACGTCAAGTGGCTTTTAAATAAAAGGCAGCTTCATTCCAAAACCAGCGTAAAGCGTGACGGAAGCTCAACAGTTTCCAAAGGGATCAACACTGACCCAAAAGCAGCTCCGGTCATTTTGGTAGGAACAGGCTAAAAAGCGAGCACCTGGGAAGATAAATCCCAGCCACGTGAGCTGTTGGTTAATTCAAGTCTTCTCAGTCACTCGCAGCTACCGACGGAATCCAGCTGAAGAAATGTCTAGGTGAGGTAATATTTCAGACCCTCTCTTATCTGTCTTTTTAGGGGGGAGGGGGGGAAAAAAGGCTCTAGCAAAAAACTCTGATTTTATAAAAGCAGATCGCAGTCACGGAAACACAAAGATCAGCTACAAAATACAAAAGAAAAAAAAGCTTATCCCTAAAGTCTTAAGCAGTTTTAGCAGCTACAAATGACCTATACAATTAGCATTTCTGTGGTGTGATGGCCTCTCAGTCTGCAGCAGCCACCTGATATGTTAGATCACCTGAACTTTCAGCTCCTTCTGATGTTTCACAAAGCACGGAGTAAGAGCACGAGAGGAAAAAGCACCCCAGGTGGGGCAAAAGTGTTTTTTTTGGGCTCGTGCACTTAAAGTGCACAAAACCAGCCAGTGCAGCCCCAAATTTCAAGAGAGCAGCTCAGCTGTAGTTAAAAACACAGCTCTGAGCCGCTGTTTCGCAAGCGAACACCTCTGCCAACTACTAAACCTTTTTGTTTTCCAGGTAGAATCAAGAAGTTTGCTATTCCTTAGGAGATATTTGTCCAGGAGGGACGATTCCACCCAAAGGCCATGGCTTTAAACATTAGCAGCAGAATCCCTACCTCTGTTCTCTATTGCACTGAAATGTCTTGCTCCGGGTTTGGTGTTCAACTCGCTGCTCCCAAGCCAGTGCTTAACACAAAAAAAAATAATAAAAAAAATCAAGTGTTAGGTGTGAAAGCTACTTAGAGTATCATATAGACTGGTAGAACCTGTAGTTACATTATACCATTTTCTAGGTTTTTTTTTCTAGGAAACTAAAAGAACTAAGCTGCCTTAACTTAACTCTTGGAGAGGAAAAGTGCTTTCAGACAAAATGCCTTTACCTAACTGGACATAATTCCATCTTTTAATCCTGTTGAGTGTTTAAGAGAGTGCAACGAAAACCAGAAAAAGAGTCCAAAATAAATTTGAACCATCCCATCTCTTGGTCCGTTCCTGGTCATCCATGGGGTTGGGTGGAGGTAAGAGATTCCAGCTTCTGCTCACACCATAACACGATTTGGAGACAAGAGAAGCTGCCAAGAGAGGACGCCATGCCCGGTCGTGTGTGTGTGTCTTCTGTAAACAAAAACAGAAAGCCCTCCCCAAAAAATGCAGGGAGGTACCTAGTGTGGAGTGAAGGTTTCAGCAGCGGGAGGACCGAGGGTCTGCAGGACCCAAAGGGCTCTGGCAACACATGCATTTTCCACGTTCGGTCTTTTTAACGCAAAAAAAAATGGGACTGGAAAGGCAAGAACCTGAGGCAAAGCCCTGCCAGCTCACAGGTTCTCCTGCATCCTGTCATCTGTTTCCATCTCCGCCAGCTGCCTCCTCAAGGCATTAACCTTGGCCTGGAGTTCCTTGTTGTATTTTATAATGCTGATCATTTCTTCCTGGGCTTCGTCTAGGAACTTGGATGGTCTGTTCCACCGAAGAAAGACGCCTGGAAAGTCCAGAGACAGCACAAGTCAGAAAGGGTTTCTTGTTGCAAAGAGGAAACTTCATGCATATTCCATCAGCTCTCAAGTAACTGTGTACAGTTAATGCATTTTTTCCCTACCTCCTCTCCCTAAACAGCATTTAGAAATACTGACCCTCCTCTCCAAGTCCATCACGCTATTAAATAAGGTTAATAAAGAGAAAATGAGGGGGTTTCATTCCTTTTTTTTCCCCTCATTTACTGATCAGACCAATCCATACTCAGTCCCCACCCTGCTGTGACAGCCTGTTTGCTTCACTCATTAACTCTTCAGTGCCCACAGGATGGAGAAGCCTTGGTTGATATAGAAAAGCCTTGGGCCCGCAGAACATCTATAGATCAGGCTGCATCACTGCAGAAATACTGTGCCAAGAAGATAAATGGTACTAGGAAAGCTCAGTATAAAGATTAACATGTCACTGAACCTCAGAAGGACCGTAGTGTTACCCTCTGGGGATGGCACATGCCAAAAATATCTTGGAACAGATTTCAAAGGGAACCAGATCACCATCAGCGGAGACAGACGGAGCAGAGACAACAGCAGCAAACACTTCAGAAGCTTGATGGGTAGCCAAAAAAAAAAAAAAAAAAAAAAAATATATATAGCCTGTAATTAAAAAAAAAAGAAAGAAAATGTGAGCCTGGCTTACCTTCCCAGAGCTGCAGGCTCTGTGGGGCCACCGAGGGCCAGATGACCAGGCTGTTGGCCTCAAAAAGAGGATTCTGGAACTTGCAAAGCTCTTCAGACCTGTTCACCCAGGACCACAGGGACATCGTCTTTTGCGGCAGCTTCAGTTTAGACCTAACAAGCCCACAGGAACAAATTAGCTTTCACTTTTATACCGTAAAGACTCATTTTGTGTCACTTTTATACTGTAAAGACTAGAAGGCCACGAGCTTTCACTTGCGCTACCAGCCCAGACAATTCAGGCTAATCCCTTCAATAACTTCTCACCAACGTGGCTCAGGGTGTAAACCTCAAGAAATTGGCTCAACCCGGCTGATTACCATTTCAAAGACAAGCTGGGGAATTAATATTTATAAGCTGGGAAGAACAGAAAGCCTTCTGTCCAGATGAGGAATCAGTCTCCTCCCCAAAACGCTTCGACTGTCAGGTTTTTAAAGGGGTTTAGCTCCTGGGTTGAGATGGAGGTGGGAGGTGTGGTGGGTCTGCAGGATGGAAGGATCCTAGTGAAATTCCCAGAGCACAATAAAAACAGTGTTACTGCTGGAATTGTGCAACGGGCACGTCTGATTAGGTCCCTCTGGTGGCAGGAAGCACAGAGAGAAAAGCCGTGCTGCTTTCCTGGGTGAGACCCACCTCCAGGTGTCACACAGAGGTCTCTTATTCCTTAAATTCTGGCAAACCTCATCCTGTTTGCACAAGCAAATCGAGCTGCCACCAGGGATTTACCATCCCCCTGAACACTTCAGACAGCACCAGCTTAACATCAGGCTTCAAACACTGCCTGGGTGACACGTTCAGATGTGACAGGCAGGTTATTACATGTAACATCCAATACTCTTTCAAATGTCATCTTACTGGTTTCAAGTCTAACTTGGTTTTGCAGATGACCAGTTCAGCAGCCCTGCAGAAGACAGAAGGGTCTCTTCTAAGCAAAGATTACTTTAAGGGCAGAAAAGTTTTTAGGATGCTTTAAATTGCCTTCTTTATCTGTAATATCACTTGGTTTTCCCTTCTACTCACTCGGTGGTCTTCAGTTCAGCAGGACACCACCAGATATGGTCTTACTGGAGTCAGGAGGCCTGAGGACAGCACTGCTGAGTTCAAAACAGGAATCCAAACCTCTCTGGCAGCTGCCATCTGCCGTGGGAGGCTCTGGTCCTCCCGGGTTCCACCCTGTGTGCCCTGCTCAGGGCATGTCTGGAGCTGCCACACCAGTATCCAGCCCAGACTGGGATTCAAAAGCTACATGCTGGTCTGGCTCGAGGACCTTAAACACCACAGCACAGGCCTCTTGTTACCTAGACTCCAGCAGAATGAAGTCCTGGCTGCTGTTGCACAGCATTTGCTGAGAGCCTCAGCCAATGCAGAGAGGCCAAGTCACCTCTCACCAAATCACAGGTTACAGCTGGAAGGATTTTTGGTCTGTTGAACTTCTATTAAGCTTCTCTACTACTGTGTGGTCAAGAAGATCTCAAACCTAATCACCACCCTCGTAACCAACAAGCAAAACTTTTGCCAAGGTGTAGCTGTGAGGCAGATCCTTCTGAAAGAACTTCAGCCTGGAGAAGAGAAGGCTCTGGGGAGACCTTATGGCAGCCTTTCAATACCTGAAGGGTGCCTATAGAAGAGCTGGGGAGGGACTCTTTGCCAGGAGGTGTAATGATAGGACAAGGGGAAACAGTTTTAAATTGGAAGAAAAAAGATTCAGATTAGATCTCAGGAAGAAATTTTTTACTATGAGGGTGGTGAGACACTGGAAGAGGTTGCCCAGGGAAGTTGTGGATGCCCCATCCCTGGAGGTGTTCAAGGCCAGGCTGGATGGGGCCTTGAGCAACCTGCTCTAGTGGGAGGTGTCCCTGCCCAGGGCAGGGGGGTTGGAACTCCATGATCTTTGAAGTCCCTTCCAACCCAAACCATTCTATGATTCTATGATTTTAACTTCCCTATTTTCCACTTCCCAGGACCACCAGGCTACCCTTCCAACCCCAACCATTCTATGATTCTAACTTCTTCCCTATTTTCCACTTCCTGGGACCACCAGGCTATGGAGCCATGTTCCTGTCTGACAGCTGAGGCAAGAATCAGACTTTCCACCTTCGGATTCTGACTGCCTTGACCTTCTCCTCCAGGCCTGCACAGGCAAGTTTGCTTCCTACAGCTATGACTCACGTCACTGTTGAACTCCAACTGTTTATTCTTTTATAGAAAGATCTCCTGCGTAAGAGACTATATAAACTGGTGATGGGTGGAGATTTTTCAAGGCCAGAAAAGACAGTCAAAGGTATTCACTTGGACTGGGAGAAGACTCATTCAACTCCATGACCAAGCCACAAATGTCTTTAGTCACAATGTCCCACTTGTAGGAGGGACAAACTCCTTCAACATTGCAGCAGACAACACGAGAGAAGCTCACCTGGAAGACCACACAAGCACCCTCACCCTTTTTCAAACCAAGAAGGGTTTTTTTGGGGCAAATACAGCCTGATATTTAAGGGGTTCCAAGCAAACATCCTCACCAACCTCTCGCTTTCGTTGTTTCCAAGGAAAGTCCCAAACTGCGAAGCGTAAGCATGTTCAAAGAGCATAATGAGGAACTGTTCGTTGAATTCAAAAGAGCAAGGGAACTGACGAAGGATTTGCCACACACAGTCCAAGAAGAGGAGAAACACGGGGGCCTCCCATTTCTGCTTGCTGTTCGAATAGGCCGACTGGGCGCAGCGCTGCTGGAAAGGGTGACCAGCCTAGGGGTGAGAACCAGAGAGAGCATCACGTCCAGAGCAACAGGCTGTGAGCACAACAGCAAAAAGCCTTCAGAGCTAGTTCTGTCCATGCAACGGTGCTATTACTGCTCTTTTCTACAACCGTAATTAAGTCAAGCATCCAGGAACAAGTTGCTAATGACCACGACCAACTTTGCTGACTTTTTCAGGCTACAAAAATAGCGTTGTATTTGATCAGAGAATTTTACTAAGAACAAATTGGTGTAGGTGCAGGAAGGACCGGGCTGAGGATGGATATTATGGTGGATGAGAAGCTCAACACGAGATGGCAACGTGGGCTGGCAGCCCAGAAAGCCCCCCACCCCCTGGGCTGCATCCCCAGCAGCGTGCCCAGCAGGGCCAGGGGGATTCTGCCCCTCTGCTCTGCTCTGGGGAGACCCCCCCCCAGTGCTGCCTCCAGCTCTGGGGCCACCAACAGCAGAAGGACATGGAGCTGTTGGAGCGGGGCCAGAGGAGGCCCCGGAGATGCTGGGAGGGCTGGAGCCCCTCTGCTG